CTAATTTGTTTCAATTGTTGCAGGCCTTCATGAAAAAGTCTTAACAAATGTGATATACACATTTGTGTTTTATACCCCTTTTATGCAGTGATTCTCAAATGTTTTCCTGCTACAGACTCATGTTATATATGCTGTTATTGAAGGATGTAGTAGAGGAGCATTTTGATGTAAAGCATGGCCCCATGATGGGGCAAGTGTACCTGACAAGCTTATTAGGAAGTAACTAGGACAATACATGAAACATGTTGGATGTAAAATATTTATATTTCCAGAATTCATCTGATAAGGTACTACACATTAGGCTGTGTAAGGAGTAAAAGTGTTGACGGTAGTATATTAGTGTGGAAAGAGGATTGGCTAGCTAATAAAAGAAAGAGTTGGGACCAGTAACAAATGGAATGCCACTGGGATCAGTGCTTAAATGACATTTATTTGCAATATATATTAATCCCTTAGGTGAGGGAAGTGAATGTATTACCAAGTTTTGTAGATGACACAAAAATAGATGGGAAGGCAAATGATGAGGAAGCGCAGTCTGTGCAGAGTGAGAGTGATGAGTTAAGTGAGTTGACAAAATCTTGGCCATTGGAATATAATGTGGGAAAATGTCAGTTTATGCACTTTGGCAGGAAGAATAGAAGAGCTGAATATTATCTAAATGAAGAAAGACTGCAGAAAAATGCAGTGTGGAGGATTTGGGAATCTTTGTACGCAAATCATAAGTCAGCGTCCAAGTTCAGTGGATAATAAGAAATGAAAATGGAATGTTTGCTTTATTTCAAAGGGAGAAGAGCATAAAATTAGGAAAGACTGGCTAAAACTATACAAGACATTCGTCAAACCACACTAGAATGTTATGAACTAAGGAAAGATACTGGCATTGGAGGCAGACCAGAGAATGTTCACTCGGTTGATACCAGGTATGAGGAGATATTGAGTAGTTTGGCTTGTATAGGTGGTCCCGGATTTAAGATTAATGAATGCTTGTACTTAAGAATGAGATTCTGTGCAAGGGTGTAACTTTAAAGACTTGATAAGTGAGTATTTCCTGTACTTGAACATAGCTGCTTTAACATTGTCCTACATTGTGTTCTGACTTGATTACAAATTGACTTGGAGACACTCTAGAACAGAACTCATTCACAACTTGGGGATTGCCTGTACACTCTTTGGAACTTAGATTGAGAGGAGATCTTTTGGAATATATAGGATTCTTAGGGAGTTTAACAAAGTAGATGTGGAGAGGTTCCCCCCCCCCCCCCCCCCCCCCCTTACAGGAAGACCTAAGATCAGAAGGTGTAGTCTGAGTATTGGGTTACCCATTTAGGACAAAAATGAGAAGTTTGTTGAAGGTAGTGAATCTGAGGAATTATTTGTAGCAGAGGGCTGTCATGGATTGATCATGAAGGATATTCAAGGCTGAGATAGGTGGTCAGATTTTTAATCAGCAAGGGAACTTCTTATGGGAAAAGACAGAAAAGTGAACCTAAGGATTATTGAATCAGCCATGATCATGTCAAATGACAGAGTAGATTTGTTGGGCTGAATTGTCCAATTGTGTACCCTGTTTTGCGTTGAGGCCTGAAATTTGTTGCAGTATTTCAGTGAGCAGTAGGAGAGGAAGCAATGATCTGTTGGACCACAGGTAGATAGCTTGGTCATTAGTCTCTGAGCTCATGGCCCCTAAATTTCAGCTTTCAACCCTAGTTGGGGTACCAACTCCCACTTTCACTAGTTCTGCCATGACTCCTCTAACTATAATATTTTAATTGGAGTGGAACTGCAGTGTTTTCCCCTTTTTAAGAAGTTAATGTATCTGATATGATTTCAAATCTTGCAATTAATCTTAATTTTGATGCTATGTGAAGGTGGCTGTTAACTGATTCTAGAAACATTGTATGATGCAAATTTTATTCCATTAAGGGTAACTGTGGTTTAGGTACTTTACCCCTCTTGCCTACAGGGAATTAATATAAAGGACCAAGCCTACTATTCAGCTTGATTTTGTTTTTGTATTTTAAACTTATGATCTGCAAATATCTTTTACTATTGCTATTGCTAAAAGCTTTCAGAACACTCAACTTGGCTGTGATGTCAACTGGAGAGTATTTATTGAAAATTCATGAGGTTAATTGGCGTTGGACGTGTTAAATTAGGGAAAAATTGTTGTAATAAAATTTATGGTAGCAATCCTGAGTTCAAGTGAATCCACGTATTAGATTTCCAGGCCCTTCAATTAGAAGAAGGCAGAAATATTTAATAGCTAATGTCATGCAGTATTTCCTTTTGGGGATATTTTGTTGAATTTCATGGTGTCTGCATCAAAGTATAAAAGCCTTTGCAGGTTGTTTTGAGTAATCCTTCAGCTTTTCCTTATTAATAAGGTAAAGTATTACTCTCCAGGATTGTTACCTTCTTGGGCACTGTTGGGTTAAATTTGTCTCCTCGATTTGTGATTTTTAATGCCACTGTCGGAAAGCAGTGTGCAAACCACAGCAGCATTGTACAAAACCATGGGCCCACAAGTTAGCTGATGGCTGATTTTTAGAGGTGCCGGGCCTTGAGGGAAGCACACATTAGAGTCAGTGCTAATTTGCAGGTGTAATATATGTGGGTGATTTTAACTCTTTCCACATTAATGTTGAGGGAACTTGATCTATTTTAAAATACTGTTCATAGTTTTTGTTTTCTGTGGCTGTTTTAGAAAGGAAACTTCAACTGGGCAATGTAAGAAATTTTGTTTAGAGCAGTAAGTTTGTGTCTTTAAAAACAATTTTTTTATTTGTTTGTAATCTAACATATTCCAAAACCCATGATTCATGCCACCTAGAAGGGCATGGGAACACCACTGTCTGCAAGTTCCTCTCCAAGCCAAACACCATTCTGACTTGGAACTTTACTCATTGAATGTCGTTGTAATTAGGTCAAAATCCTGGATCCTTACAAAATTGTAGGACTACACCATTCAAGATAGCAGCTTGTCACCACTTTCTGCATTTGTGATGGACAATACTGCTGACCTAGGTATGATGCCAGCATTTTGACTGCAAAGTTGCATTGGAAATGCATCAAGTTCCTCTGCTTTCTGATAATCCTGTTTTGATGTTGGAAGCTTTATATCATAGCTGAAACATAACAAGATAATTGAAGCATCTAAAAGAGTCTTATCCAACTGCCTCTATCTCATACTCTGTCTATAAATGAAGTGGTTTTCCAAAAATGTGAATGAAGGTTGAAGAATTGCTTAGCTAACATTAAAGATTTTAAATTAATATGGCAAATCTCTACAGGGATTTGAACCTCCCTTCTGGCTCAGATATGTACACTACTTCTGCACCAGAAGACCCTTGCTAACATTAAATAGAGTTGGTATGAACGGATCATTTTCAGCATGGCAAACTAATTCGTGGAAAACAATCTTATTGGGGCTTCAACTATTTGCAATTTATAATAAGACTTCAGAGAAGGTGCCAAATGATGTATAGGAGAACAAGTTGAGGACAACACTGTCTGCAAATGATATAGATAGGCTAAATGAATGGGAAAAGATCTGACAGGTGGACTATAACGTAGGAACGTTTGGAGTTGGAGTAGTAGAAAAGGGTATGGGATATCAGGATTGCCTTGTGCACAAATCACAAAGTTAACAGGAAGGTAATGCAAAGAATTAGGCAAGCAAATGGAATGTTGGTCTTTTATTACAAGGAGAACAAACTATAAAAGTAGCTAAGTCCTGTTGCTACTGTCAATGATATTGTTGAGACTCCATGGAGGTGTACACTTGCAGTTTGGTCTTTGATAACATAGATGATGGGGAATACTTCTCTCAACAGGTTATGAATCTGTGAAATTCACTACCCCAGAACGTGGTAGATGCTGGGACCTGAGTAAATTTTGAGGAGGAGCTGGGCACATTTTTAATTAGTAACAGGTTGTGGGATATGGAAAGTGGGCAGCAAAGTGGAGTTAAGGCCAAAATGAGATTAGCCATGATTGTATTGAATGACGGAGCAAGCTCAGGGTTGAATTGTTCCTGGTTATGATGTTCTTGCGTTTAGTTAGAATGATATACTTGCATTGAGACAGTTCAGAGTGTTTACCAGGCGGATTCTTATAATAAATGGGTTGGCTCATTAGGAAAGGTTGACTAGGTCAGACCTATACTCAAGAGTTTAGCAAAACTGATGCCTTTATTGAAGTACATGAAATTGAGGTGGCATGATAGGTTGGCTGCTGAATGAAGTCTCTCTTGTAGGGTATTTAAAAACTGGGAGGAGGTGTGCAAATTTCAAATATAGGGAGTTTTCTGTTTAAGATGTAGGTGAAGAGGAATTTCTCTTTTTTTGTGGAGAGTTGTGTTAACTAATAATTTATATTTGTATTCAAGTCAAACTTGAAAGACTTTAATGCACAAGGGGATTGAGGGATGTTGGGTCAGGATAGGCAATGGTGGGAAAGCAGGGATGTGTATCTGAAGACATAATCTGATAGCCCATGATCTTAGTGATTTTGATGAAGGCCCTTGGATGCCCAGTCAGCCTGCTGCTGTCCCTATTTCTTAAGTAAAGCACTTGTTCCTTGTGGATTGTCTACAGTTTTTGTTAATAAACAATTTTTTTTAGAAATGTAATTTTTTAAATGTACAAAAAACTCTTTAAAATACATAGTTTAGTTGAGGGAAAGTAGCATATTTTGATGGAGACACTTGAGCAGCAATGAATTTTGATTGCTTCAACTTCACTTGATTTGCTGATTTTAAAGTGTTGCAATGTTTGAGCTATAATATTTAATATTTATATTTGAACTCCCAAGTGAAGCTAAAATGGTAAGATGTAATTATGTCCATTATTTTTGAAAAGGTGGAGTAGATTGGGTTTTTTATTAGCATAGTTTTCTTTTTCCTGCTCAAGATCATTAACTGCAAAACTAGACCAGGTGGGGGTCTTTATTTATTAGTTATTGATTTATATGTTGACATTACAATTTGTTTTCCTCCATAGGAACCTAGAATAACTTGCAATGAATGGTGACTCTGGTGTCGGGGTGGTTACTTCTCCACCTCCGTCAACTGCTCCGCACAAGGAGAAATACTTTGACCGAGTTGATGAGAACAATCCTGAATACCTCAGAGAAAGGAATATGCCACCAGATTTGCGCCAGGATTTCAATATGATGGAGCAGAGGAAAAGGGTTTCCATGATTCTACAAAGTCCGGTAAAAGCATTACCTTTTTAATTGAATCTCTAGGTGCCCCATTACTATTTAAAATAAACACCAGGTGCAGACTTGACCACTGATGTATGATAGGTACGAATAAAATTTAGGCCATTGCAATTGTATTTGTGGCTCTGTAAAGAGGAGGAATAGGCCACTTGGCTATACAAGCCTATTCCAATTTTCAGTAAGATCATGGAAGATCTTATCTTGGCCTGAGCTGCACTCTTCTGCCTGTTCCACAATGCTCAACTACTTTTAAAGGTCCCTTAAAAAAATATGTTTTAATAAGATCTGAAATAAATCCAGAGGCTGGTATCCTGTCACCAAGTCACCCCTTATTTACATGTCGTAGGTCCTTGACATCAATCCAACTCCCTCAGAGCTAGGTCTGAGTGTCAGTGTCTGACATTATTCTTTTTAATCTGTTAGCCAGGACTCCGATTGGGGCTGTTAATCTAGTCCAATCAGGAAACTGCTTGAGGTCCACCTTGCTGACCTTTTTTAGTCACTACACCCTCCTGCTCAGAGTACAAAAACATTGGCTTATTTTTTTTACTTTGTGGTGCCTCCTGGAGTGTTTTAGCACTGAATCAGGTTCCCCTGACTCTGCGTTGGATACAGGTAGTGTGTATTGCACAGGAACTTGCCTTTTGCACCCAGATAGTCTGGGAAATTCATTTTCCTCTTTCAGCAGCAAAAGACGTCAATGCGACAAGATCCACCATGTCCATCTGATGTCTCGTCAATGCTTGACAGAGTGGGAGAACCTATGGGTTCCAACAGCCTTTGATCTGAAGAGCACACTGTTTGCGACTTTAACATGGTCTCCATGCTTGTTCAGGACTGTTGCTCCTACCTGAACTTTATATGCTGCTGTTCCTGACCTTGCCTCAACCGAGCCTGTTACCATTGCAGGGCCATTTCCATGGTTCCTACACCAAACTTATCCCCTGAAGTAAAATGATTGCGGAATCTGGCGCTAGCATTTGATGCCATTTCAACGACGCTATCCTGCCTCCTGCAGCTTGGTGCAGAGTTGTCTTGCCTTTAAGCAACTCTGCTGGAGCTATCCCTGTAGACTCCTGAGGGGTGGTCCTATAATCAAATAGGTAGTGGGACAGTTTGGTATCTAGCGAAGCTGTGGGCTGTTTCTTCAAACCTGCCTTCAAAGTTTGAACTAGTCTTTCTGCCAGGCCATTGGATGATGGATGGTATGGATCTGTCCTTATGCTGAATGCCATTCGACTTTAGGAAATACCTAGTCAAATTTCCTGCTGGCAAACGATGGCCCATTATCTGTGACCAACACTTCTAGGAGTCAGTGTATTGCAAATAATGCATGCGGTTTTTCTGTAGTCATTCCTGTGTTTGAGTGAACTGTGTGTCCAGCCACTGTGTGGGCATCTACAGTGACCAAGAACACTAATTATACAGGTCCTTTCATTGGCTGAATATATAACCGAGTCCACGGTTTAACAAACCATTCCCATGAATGTGGGGGAGCTGCTGGCAGTAGTTTGTCCTTGCTGGCATTCTGGGCACTGCCCCACCAACTGCATCCAAGCCTGGCTACCAGATATAACCTCTTGCCAACATCTTCATTTTGGAAACCCCTGAATGATCCTGGTGTAATTCATCGTGTCCTGAGTAAGTGTCATCACCAGATAAACACTCTTGCTCCCCACAACAGTGTGCTGTCCTCTGAGCTGGTCTCTCCAGGTCCAAAAATGTTTTGGTTCTGTTTGTGACAGCCCTTAGGTTTCCCTCATCGACTGTTTTAGTTTTGCCAGGATTGGATCTTGCTGCATCCAAAGTCTGATATTGTCAGCTATGACTGGAAGGGTGTCCAGAAAATTTAACTTTTACAGACTCTTCCAGTAATGGCACCACCAGTGGTGTATGCCAATAGGGGATGGCTCAATGTATTTGCTACTTGGCCTCCCAGATGGTGTTCCAACTTATTGTGTACAATTACAAGTATTAGAGCCCACCAAGTTCAAACTGAATTGGCATTGCCTTGTTTGTTTCCAAGTATTGGTCTCAGTCTTTGATAGCAGGATCAAATGATTCAAGCTTCCCAAATAATAGTATGATGCCAGAAATGCTTAGCCTAACTCAAAGACAACTGTTGCAAGAGAGTTTCTTCAGGAACATTCTTATGTCATTGCCAGTGAAATAACTCCCCAGAGGCCAGTATCCCCTCACCCCATATTTATACACTGAAGGTCCTTGACACTCCCTATTTTATCTGTCAACAAGGCTCCCTGATTAGGGTTGTTAATCTGGTCCATTCAGGTAACTCGTTCTATGAAATCCACCTGACTGACCTCATTACAATCAGTACAAGATCACCTCTCGTTTTTCTTAACTCCCGATCTGCTCAACCATTCCTTTAAGAAAATCTCTTCTTTCCTGAAGTCAGCTCAGAGTCATGGAAGTCTGCAGCACAGAAAAAAAGTCCTTTCGGTCCATCAAATCTGCACCAGTCAAAAACCAACTACCTAACCAGTCTAATCCCATTTTCTGGCAGTTGGCCTATAGCCTTGAATGCCTTCGCTTCACAAGTGCATATCTAAATATTTAATGAGGGTTTCTGCCTCAACCATCTTTACAGAAAGTGAGTTCTAGATTCCCACTGCCCTCTGACAGAAAAATGTTTTCCCCCTATCCTGTCTAAATCTCCTGCCCCTTACCTTCCATCCAAGTTCACTGGTTCTTAATCCCTACACTAAGCAGAAATGTTCCTTCGTGTCTACCTTATCTGTGTCCCTCCTAATTTTACACCCATAATCCATGACCCCCGTTGGCCTTCTCTACTCAAAAGGAAAACAACCCCAGTCTATACAATCTGTCTTCAACTAAAACACAACAGCCCAGGCCACATACTGTTAAATCTCATCTACACCCTCTCTAATGAAATCACATCCCTTCTATAATGTGAATTCCAGATTGGCACATAATATTCTAACTGAGGCCTAACCAACTTTTAATAGAGTTCCAGCATAAAGTCCCTGATAACACCTTCCTGTTCTAAATGGAGATTAATTTTGTCCCTCAGAATTTTCTCCAATAGTCTGCCTGCCACTGATGAGAGACTCGCTGGTCTCTAATTCCCTAGTTTTGTCTTTCTCACCGTTCTCTATAGTGGAACCACATCAACTGCCCTCTAGCACCTCCCCATGGGCAGAGAAGAACTACAAATTTAGTTCAGGGTCCCTACGATTTCCTGCTTCCTCTTTTTTACAGCAGCCTGGGATACAACTCATCCTGACCTGGGGATTTGTCCACTTTAAAGCCCCGCAAAGCCTCCAATACCACATTATTCCCTATATCAAATCACTCAAGAATTTCACAATCCATCTTCCTGATTTCTGTACCTACATCTTTTTCCTCAATCCTATGTGAAGTACTCATTTAAGACTCTACCAGTGTCCTACAGTTCCTTGCATAGATTTCCCTGTTGGGCTCTAATCTTTCCCTGGTTATTCTCTTCCCCCTAATCTACTTGCATATCTTGAATTTCTCCCTAATCTTGCTGGCTAACGTTTCTTTCATAGCCCTTCTTCGTTCCCCTAATTGCTGTAAGATCACCCCCCTCTCCCCCCCCCGGACCCACCCTTTCTATATTCCACTAGGGCCTCTGTTAATTTGTTCTCCACTCCTTTTTTTCCTTTTCATCCATTCCTAAATATTCTTTAGGTATGCAGCGTTCTGAGCTTGTTGCTCAAACTAAGGGAACATGCTGGGCTTGTACTCTTTCCCCCATTTCCCTTTTGAACGCCTCCCACTGTTCTGGTGTAAATTTACACAGAAGTAGCTGTTCAAAGTGTCCTTTGGATGGATTCTGTATTATTCTAATAAAATTTGCCAATCCCAGTCCAAACCCTGTTTTGCCAACCATGGTGCTGTGGTTGCTGTCATTTAAAATGCTGCCACCTCATACACCTGCATGGTCTGTCTCCCCTGAAGAAGGCCCATTGTAGAACCTTCTACAGGTTTACATAAAATGCTCTCCTGAATACAGTTCAAGAAACCTGCTCCCTTTAGAATCCTTATCACTATTGTCCCAATTAATCTTGGAGAAGTTGACATTGCTGAACATAATCCCCTATTATTGTATTTACCCACCTTTTGCCGTCATCATCAGCAATCATAACTCATTAGTGAATGTTTGTGTATCTAGGAAATTCCATGACACTGTTAGCCCTCCTTCTCTCGCACCCCCCTCCCACCCAAAAAAAAGCCAGTGTGTAGAAGACCCTACAAGAGGGGACAATCCTGGACTTGATTAAAGGCAACAAAGCTGGGCACATTGTTGAAGTAAGTGGGTGGAGCATTTTGCGGTCATAACTCTGTTAGATCGAAGATTGTTATGGAAAAGGATAAGATGGGTCTGAAATTAAAGTTCTCACTGTAGGAAGGTTGACTTTAATAAGATCAGATATGATTTGGCCAGAGTGAACTGGCAGCAGATCCATTCAGGCTGTTTCTCCTCCTCATCTGGACATGACATAATCCATTGCTTTACAATGTTTGACCTGTATATAAATTGAAAAGTAAAACCTTGCTTGGATCTATTATTATATCCCATACAGTTTGATGCATTTTCATTTCTGCTGAATCCTGATTTTAGCATACTTTCAATAATCAGTTGACAGGATTACAGTTTGAGGAGGAAAATGCTCATGTCTTTAAGAAGAATGCCATTATAAATAGTCGTGAATATTGACCTAAAGGCCTGAATTTCATAATAAAAATTCTGAAACATTTAGTTACTCATTTCAGTTCATAATAAAATTGTGTTCTGCCTTTAGCATTTTGATTTTGATTACTTTTTCATGTTATGTATGGATTCTTATCCACTTTGAATAGCCTCTGGAATGTGAGACTTGTTATTTTACTGAGGTAACACAATTTGTTCAGTGTTTTTAAATACATCACACGGGCAAACGTCAAGAGTTCATTAAATGATTTCTGTACCATAAGTCCTTATCTTA